TTAAACAAAATTAGATTACTGTGCACATTGTCATTTTTACGTTAAATTATTTCAATATTTTTCAATACTCAATATATACGATTTTAGGCAGTGATGAAATGAAGCTAGCAGGAACTTACTCCTTAATTCATGCAGGAATAACTAAAGAGATTTTTGTGAAGGAAGGGGTGGGTCCATGTATGTCTTAGACCATGTACAATATTTTCAAGGACTGAGAACCAATATCTCCGCGCATGATTGTAGCAGATTTTAAGATGCCCATTGGTAAGGTGTCCTTAGTCCAGATGTACTAACGAAAGATGCAAGTTTTATGAACAAGAAGGTATCCTACTTGTATTTGCAGAGGACTAAGGATAAAGTTATTGAAGAAGGAAGATCCATAATTCTGAGTGGGATTTTTAATGCCAGAACAGAAAGTGGTGATAGATCAGGTCATGGTGTTCTATGACTGCATAGAGATGATAACGTAAAAAATAATAATGTACAGCTGCTAATAGATTTTTGTGTCAATAATAATTCTCTCATAATGAATTAGTTCTCTACACACAAAATAATCCATAAAATTACTTGACTCTTGAATTGAGGCTTAATGTCATTGGAATGAAGTATAAATTCAATAAAAAAATGTTCTGCTATATATTTTTTCTTTGCTCAACCGGTTTCGGTCTTTTATCAGACCGTCATAAGTTAGACCGATGAAGGTCTGGTAAAAGACAGGACAACATCTTTCTGATTGAATTCATAATCACCGTGGCTTATAAAAGTATAGTACCGGATTATAAAAGAAAAGCGAAGGTATTTAAGGCCATCAACATTACGTCCTTGCAGTGGTGCCCATCTCTGGCAAAACCGATAGCGCATACACCTTCCCCTACTCCTGCCAAGATATTTTATCCCTCTCTTCTTCTTAAAAACAGTGCAAACGCAAGTATAATTTAAATATTCGTGTATTATATATAATTACTCATCCGGCGGCCTGTGAAATGCTTCCAGTTGTCTTTTCGTCTGAAACTTTTCATTTTGAAAATTCATAACTCCGTCGAAATGTGCATCCCTCATAAATTTTGATGGCGCAACTCTTGCGTCCTTGGATGGTTCAGAAAAGAGAGCACTCTGTACGGAGAAGTTAGAAGGCAAATTAAGAACAATGGATGCGTAGTAAAGATTTGGAAATTATTGAAGTAATGTATTTTGGAATGCAGAAAAATACATTATGTAGGATAAGGAGAATATCTGCTGAGGTTTACCGTAAAACCTCTGTGTTTATCGAACAGTCACAAATCAATGCACGGCACTCGTAAGCACGATCAAAAAAACGCTCATTGCAAGAATTCGATAAAAAGCAGAATGAGAACCAGCGTAAATCTATAAGAACTTTTTGGCGAAATATTAAAATTTTAATTGGAAAGCAAATCAAGGTCGTCAGAAATGTAAAAGACATTGATGGAACCGTACTTACCGACAAGAAAAAAATCTAAACAGAAATATTTTAGGGAGCAAATCTTGTAAAAATCCAGAAACACATCTCTCCAAAGAACGAGAGTCCTATACTCTAGGAGGCCCAAAAGTAATAGAAGAAGAGAGAATACGCAATCCAGAGTCTTAAAAACAGAAACTTCAGGCAAGGCCGTTGCGTGGGTTTTCGGTGTCCGGGGCGTGATTTTACTTGACGCGCTAACCTCCTCCACCACCCCAAATCTGCTAATAATCTATTATCCCATGTTTAAATAAAGAAAGAGAGATGAATATAGTGATAATAATGATAAAGACAGCGAAAACGAAAGTTTGATATCCCAGCGTGTATGGTATTTCAGTAAAGTGGAAAAATAGACCAAAAGATATCAAACAGGATAAAAAAAGCAAATGGCATCTATTACCAGATCTGCAAGACGATCTTCGGAAAAGAAGAGGTGGAAAATATAACTAAGATCAATAAATACAATACACTCAACCTTCTATCCCTACTGTAGGGTAGTGAGAGCTGGGTCCTTCTAGATAGGCACAAAACTAGACTTACTGCTGCCGAAATGAAATATCTGAGAAGAGTTGGCCGAACTAGAAGAGATTGCATCCGAAACGAACGGGTTAGAGAAAATGTTAAGGTGCCACCAATATTTTTTTTTTCTTTTTTTTTCTGTTCTTCCCTACCTCGCCTTTTAGGCTATACAGGATTTTCCCGGGCCGGGTGGTGAGGGCACCGGGACGCGAACTCGTACTTTTCAATCTTCTCAAATCTATAATCCGGTTGCCAGGCAACTCGCGGTGATGTGCACACGCTTTAACCTATTCGGCCACCCCGCCCCCAAGGTGCCACCAATGCTGGAAACCGTGGAAAAGAAAACACTCAAATGTTATGAGGATGGACGAGGACAGGGAACCTAGCAAATTTCATGAGACAAGGCCCTCAGAAAAGAGGCCAAGAGGACGTCCACGGAAAACTTGGATTAACGAAATAACCAAGCTCGGACAGAGAAGAGGCGAGCAGTTGGGTTATATGAGAGACCTGGAGAGAGACCGTGGTGACTGGCGTACATGGATCGAGGCTCCTCCACGCTGAAAGGTATAAGGAGGAAGACAAAGAAGAAGAAAAGGAAATAAAATATTTTTTTTTTTTTGTATTTTGAATTTTAAAAAGAAAATACAGTTCAAACAATCTATTTTATATTTTATTTCTTAAAATACAAAACATGTATTATTTTAAAATATTTCATTTGAAATAATGTCCAGGTAGTAAAAAGTAAATTAAATTATTTATTTATTATAGGTTTAAAGGTCTTTTTTATTGACATAAATTTGTTCTAAAAACGTTCTGACTAAATATACTTTCTTATCCAACTCTTACTTAATTTTTTTATTGGTTTTAATGTTTATTCTTTTTAATGACCCCGACCCATAGAGTCACTCGACGGCCCTGGAATGGGCTTCAGGAAGGAATGGTATCACTCCAGAATGTTTGAAATAAGGTGGACAAGTACTCCTTATACCTCTTCAGAAGCTGATCCAGGAAGTATATGAAAGAAAGAGAATTTCATAAGATTGGAAATATAGCATAATTCTCCCAATGTAAAAAAATGACATTTCAACGGATTGTAATAATTATAGATAATCTCTTTTTTTTTTTCCTGTTCTTCCCTACCTCGCCTTTTAGGCTATACGGGATTTTCCCGGACCAGAGGGTGAGGGCAGGGAATTTAAAATCCCCTCTGGGACCGGGACGCGAACTCGTGACTATTTTCATATCATAGAATCATATATCCGGTTGCCGGGCAACGGCGGTGCAGTGCACACGCGTTAGCCCATTCGGCCACCTCGCCCTCACTTATAGATAATCTGCTGTAATAATCTGCCTTCCCTAATCTATAAACTTTATACCTCTATTTTATAAAGATTGTAGAAGGACAACCAGAAGCTGGTTCCCGCCAAAGCCGACAGACGCAGAACCACATCTTGTTCTTAGTAGTATCGCATTAAAAGCATGGAACAGAGACAAAAGCCTATACTTGGTATTTTTTGATCTGACGGGGGCGTTATATTCAGTACCAAGAAAAGAAATCTAGAATGCATTAGCAGCCAAGGGTGTGCCTGGAATGTTTTATAGAGGCCGTTAGTCACCCTACCAACGATCCACTGGAATGGCAAGGATAGACAGCATAAAATCGGATTCTCACCCAATTGTGAGATAATATAGACAGGGAGATTTTTTATGGATCAAATTCATGAAATCTGCAAGCTTTGAACAGCTTGAACTTGTAATTGGAAATCGGAAAATGAGAACCGTTCTCAAACAGTGCCTTTTGCACGCAGATGACATTGTCTTAATAGCCGATTTAACGATAAAAAAAAAAAACATGGTGGTACGGGAAGAAGAAGAATGGTATTATATTTAATGTTTACGGCAAGAAAATACCAGGAATACGTCTAATTAGTCTGCAACGTGGGGGATTCTTTTGGGAGTAAAGGAATACACTTACTTAGAGACTGTAATGAATAAAAATTTACTTCACTTAATCATTCACATGAAACATTAATAGGATTTTTTTTTTTGTCAAAACTGTGCTTCTTCGTGCTCAAAATGGAGAAAAAAGTGGAAAAAAAATAGCATTTTTTATTATTTTCAAAAGTGATCGGGGAGAAGGGAGAAAGGGAGGAAGGGCGCAGAGGTTGATAATTTGGATTTCGCGTCTCAGTCACATACCATTCAAGAAAAAAAAGAAACCTTCTACTCCAATTCGATGCAACTAAGACCTTCCTTTTCATCTTATGATACTACGCAGTACCGAAGCATTTTTACATATACATTTTATGTGATACAAGTTATTATCCTCCAGCAAAGTGACATTCCCCGACTGGTGGAAAGTATGGCGAGGCGTCTTCAAGAAGTAGTGAAGGCAAGAGGAGGAAACACACGCTACTAAACGGTGATGGGATTAATTTCTTTTAGAATAATAATGGTTCGTTTTTCAATTTTTTTTCTCTAATATTTCTTACCCAATCACATTTTGATTATTAAAGGTAAAAAAGATTATAAAATTCCATAAATACTAAGTATTATCTACAAATACCATGTATTATATACAAATACAACTTTTTTTACAAGTGGGTGAAATATTTTTAGATGAAAACATGAAAAAATCAAGTGGGTGGAGTTTTTTGCCTGTCAGTGTATTTAAAGACCTCTCAACTTCAATTTGATAATTAGAATTTTAGTATATGTATCATGATATACATTTATATATATTATAAATTACTAAGAAACAAAGTTCATACATTAACTCTTTGTAATTTTTTTGTACTTCTATCAATATTTATATGGTCGTGGTAAGCGTACTAAGCATTGTTATTATAATACATCGGTTATAGTAATTTTATGACTTTATCATTTTTCATGTTTTTATAATTATTTTTTATTTTATTTCTCACCAATATAAGTTGAATTGAGGTGCTATCAGCTTATTAAAAAAAACTGTTCCAGTGCCTTTTGGCTACCACTCCATTGCATTGTTCAGCCTGCGCAAGATCCACCATTATGTCTAATTTGTGGAAAATGCATAGCGTTCTGTATCAGTTTTGTGTTTTTTAAGTTTGAAATCTAATACTTTTTACATTATTGGAAGAACTTTATAGTCTAAGGGTTTTCTTGGAATTGGTTTCTATTCAACATGAAGTTAGTTGATCATGTGGTTCGGAGCTTCAAAGTTGCAAAAGTGTTTCGAGAAAACACCGATAAAATTAAAAGTATAGATTTTTCACCTAATGGAGATGCTTTAATTTCATGCAGTGATGATGACCAGATCGTCATATACGATTGTGAAAGAGGATCTTTGACCAAAACTGTCAACAGCAAGAAGTATGGTGTAGATTTGATTCACTTCACTCATGCCAAGAATACTGCTATACATAGTTCTACCAAAGTAGATGATACTATCAGGTACCTTTCTCTGCATGATAACAAGTATATCAGATATTTTCCTGGTCATACAAAGAAAGTTGTTTCCCTATGCATATCACCAATTGAAGATTCTTTTATTTCTGGTTCGATGGACAAAACCCTGAGGTTATGGGACTTGAGATCTCCAAATTGCCAGGGCATGATGCAACTCACTGGTCGGCCAGTTACTGCTTATGATCCTGAAGGATTAATATTTGCTGTAGGAATTAATTCTGAAAGCATTAAACTTTATGATCTTAGATCTTTTGACAAAGGTCCCTTTGCTGAGTTTGATTTAGCTCAAGAAAAAGAATGTGATTGGACTGGACTAAAATTTAGCCGAGACGGGAAAACAATTCTTATATCAACAAACAGATCGATTATACGGCTCATAGATTCCTTTAATGGTACTCCTCTTCAGACATTTACTGGGCATATGAACAATAAGGGTATACCAATTGAGTCTTCGTTTAGTCCTGATTCTCAGTTTATATTTAGTGGTTCCACTGATGGAAGAGTACATGTTTGGAATGCAGATACAGGTTTTAAGGTTTGTGTTTTGAATGCGGATCATACTGGTCCTGTGCAGTGTGTTCAGTTCAATCCCAAATTTATGATGTTAGCTTCAGCTTGTACTAATATGGCATTTTGGTTGCCGACTGTTGATGAGACTGCCTAGTTATTTTTATATTATCATTCCCTTATTTCTATTCTTTAACCTATAAGTTTTTTAATGTGATATTACCCAATCATTTGGGTAAGACATGTTTTCAAGATTATACATAGTTGATTCCATTTAAATTTTTTAAAGACATTTGATGAAAGTATTTAATTTTAAGTATGTAGATTAGAGTACATTTTAGTAATATCCAATTTTACCACTACCTTCCTTCTGTATTTAATTAAATTTTTCTTCCTTATAAGATAACAAGTTGTATATATTGATAATTGTAAGTTGGATGTTGATTGTACCTGTTAAGTTTAGATTTGTAAATACTTTTTTTTTACATCAAAATGTCCACTGTAGTTTTTTTTGTGTGTTTTATGATGAATTATTTATTAAATTTAGATTGACGAACCCACCAATGTTAGTCCTCTGTATTAAGGCTAGGTGTGATGCACTGTTGATCTTTGAGTGATTATAAAGTCTATTATATCTTAATCTGCTACAGTGGTCATTTTCATCAATAAATTTTAGTAGTTAGTATGTTGTAAAATTATATATTTAGAATTTTCATTTTTAGTAAAGTTAATATGAGATAAGAACAGTCTGAGATGTATTTTCATTGTTAAGGGGTTGTAAAGAGAAAATATCTTCCTTGCACGTTTTTGCAGTTTCTTTTTTAACTGATATTAAACATATTCTTTTAGAGAATGGTCATTTCTTTCTTTAATTATGAAATTGCAAAGGATTTTTAAAGGACTATAAAATTAGAAATTATTAAGCTAAATAAAAATTGTTTTTGGAAAATGATTTCATTCTGGAGTTATTATTAATGAAATTCTGTGCGCTATTTACTTCCCCCATCAGTTCTTATAGTCATTATGTTATGTGATTAAATTATTTATTTATCTTTTGAAAAAAATAAAAAATGTTCCTCTATTTTTTATTTGAAAGGAAATTACCTGTCTAAATGGACTTGTAAATATTTTTGCATGCATGTATATTAAGAACAAACTTTTTGTAAATTATAAATTTTTAATTTTCTTGTGTTTGAGTTTATTTCAGTATTTGATTGTGATAACAATACTTGTGATACTCTTGAGTTATACCTTGTCTATTTCTTTTTTGTCATCTCCTATTTATATTAAATGGTCTACAATTTAAAAAAAAAAAAAATTGGTATTACATGATATGTCATGTTTTAGATAAAACAACAAAAAAACAATTTGCATAATATCTGTCCAATTCCTGTATTTTCCTTTGTCTAATAAACTAAATGTTTTTATGCATTTTCCTTGTTTTAATAATTTTTAATATCCTTATATTATGATTCTATATAAAAAATACCAAGTATTTATAATAATCAAGAGCTCAAAGTAGTATAGTGTTTTAAATTGACAAACAAATGTGTACTTACTTTTTTTTTGTTAAGAGTGAAATTTGTTAATTTAGAGGACATTTTTCTGAGGTGTAGTTAATTTTTCTGAATATAATTGATGAGGTTAATAGTTAATAAATATTATTTGCTGTTGGTTATAATAGTACATCTGCCATTAATAAGTAAATTTGGTTAACTACGCCGAACATTAATAATAATTAAAAAGGAAGGAGATGGTCCAGTTCTAAGTGGAACTCCTAGAGGAACACACCTCCCTGATGACCTGCAAAGTCGGGTCGAAACGTTGGCTTTCAATAAAATAGTTTTACCACTATTTAATAATAATTCTTATATTGATGAATCTGTAATTTTTTAAAAATCAGTTGAAAAATTATACAGCTTATTAAATTAATTTTTCTTCTGCATCACAAGGAATAGAATAGATATAACTGACCAAGATCAATATTAATAAAATGCAATTAGTATAAACATTTAAAATAAATCTAAAACATTAATCATAATTGGAGAGTATATGAGAAGGTAAAGAAAAATAGAGGTGGGGTAACACTGATACTACAAAAGTATGTATAAGTTAGAAGATTACGATATCATCTTTCAATATTTATATAGTAGTTCCATACCAACAACGACTACTGTACAGTATATAAGTGAACGTCATGTTCAGCAAACTTTTAGATTTTGATTTTGAATTGATATATATATATATGTATTATAGGAATATTTCGAGCAATAATTATTTTCAAATAATGGTTATTTCTCAAATTTCATTTTATATTTCCATTGAAATAAAACTACATATTTCTAAAATTAATATTTGAAAATTTCTACCCAGGGTTAATACAAACCTATAGAATAAAAAAAAAAATCCTGACATTTCCAGTTTGGTAAACATCCAGATTTTTTCAAACCATTAATCATTATTATGACTTAAGATATCAAATTGTGATAATTATAATTGGACATGTGGAGAAAAAAAAAAATCAGTAAGCACTTTCTTTTTATTCAAGATAATCACAGTTTGCTTTATAAAAAATGTATTCATCCTTAAAAAACAACAATAAATTTATTAAAAAAACAAATATTGTGTGAAAGCAAATGAGTAGCTTCATAGGAGGGCAATACACTGATGCAACGATAATAGGAAAGGAGAAGATTTTGATTATGATAGCAGTAGATTGTAGAAAATCGTGGGTAGGTGATGAGAGAGAGATTGGTGTATAAGGACAGCAGTATCGGCATGTGCCCTACCGTCAGGATGATCAGTACGATATGTTAAGTACTCTGGGATTTTTAAACTCAGTTTTTTGGTCAGTCGAGTTTCTTTCTTGTTCGTTCTTGTCTAGTAGTAGAGCTGTTAGTTCGTCAGTGTGGTTTCTAACACCATTCGCATTCCAAAGGAGAATGGATAAGGGTTTGATTGGATTCATTTAGAATTTTTTTAAGGAGGGATGAGATGAGATACTAGATTTGTGAGGAGTGATATCAGTGGGGTAACAAGGGATTTGAATTCAGTAAGGAAAGATGCCAACAGACTGGTAAGTTCTGTGGCATGTGATGGAGGAGGAATTTGATGTTGATGTGATTGATGAGTGTTTTGTTCATTAGGAGGGATGTTGGGATTGGGGTCACTGTTGCGGCAGGGCCTCACATTTATCAATCTGGTCTCTACCCCCAAGTAACCGAGAAGGAAACTTTAGGGTCCACTCTTTTAGCAGGTCCTCTTCGAGGTGGGAAGTTTCTTCTTTGATTTGTAAAATTGATTTTTGATATTTTTATAGATCTCACAGCCCTTGTAGTTGGCAGGATGTCCTTCCAGAAATAGAGCACTTACTGCAGGTGCTGATTTAGATTTTGTGCATTCGCCGGACTTGTGTGTCTGTCCGCATTTCACGCATCTTGGTATATGATGGCAGTAAGCCTTGGTGTGGCCATATACCTGACCGTTGTGGCAGTGGACAATGTCTCTGTAATTTTGTAATTTAAAAAAATTGGAGAAAAATCAATTTTATAGGTTCAACTCAAAACTGTTTCTGATGATTTTATTGAAGAATGTTCAACTTGAATTATGAAGAAAAATGATTAGAATTGGTCTAAATTGCAGCTATTTTGCAAAAAATGTCAGATGTCCGTCTTTGATATGAAGCCACTTAAATAATAAGTAGACAAAAATCAATAATAAATTTTAAAATATAATAATAAACTGTAAAATGTGTCCATGACAATTAACTACAAGACTGGGATTTCATATATAGCTATTTTATTTTATCCATTTTTGTAAAATGTATCCATAAATTAATTTTAGAATTTTTTTTCACCATAGTGAGTCTTATTTTTTATCAATAGCATCTGATTATTGGTTTTAAATTAAATCTTTCAATTTTTGTTTAGATATATAAATAAAAATTAAGTAACAGTTTTACTCTTCCAACAATTTGTTCTTTATTTTTATGACCTTTCATGATCATTTTATTATACTTTTTTTTTTTTTTTTTTTTGCTTTGCATTTCTGTATTTTTTTACTTTTGATTTTCAACTATTGTAGTTGTAAGATAATGTTGAGCACTCTCCCAGCATCTATAGTGTTGTTAATCCACCTTGATGAACAAAATGTTAAGGAAAATGGTTTGACCACAAAACATAAATACTTCTTCACTTACCCTTATTATATATTTCATATATAGCCAAGCATATGAAGATATTTTCATATACCAAATTGTCACCAATGTTATGTTAGAAATTTTTAACTGCTGACTAACATTGTGTGGTTCGCTGAAACTATAATTAAATAATATTTATTTTAGTAATTAAAAAAATATTCAAAAGAAAAATAGCTAGTTAATTTTCAACCAGAAAAATATAACAATAGTATTAATTAATAATCAATATCCAGTCATTTTACCAGAAATCAGCACACAGCGGAATGAAAAATTCATTACTAAAAACTAATTTTCAACATGAAACTTTTGAACCACATTATGTTTTTTTGTATACATTAGCCTGCACTAAAACGTTTAATAATATTTTGTTTTTTTACATCTTTAAATCAGGAAATGAAAGAAATTTTCAATTCTTTTAACAAAACCTGTTTAAAGGCATTTTGCACAAGATAAACAATTTCCACATCACTAGAACAATTGGATCAATTTTATCATTGCACTCTAGGATAGAGCTTTCCAAATCTTCTAATAATGACAAAGGTATGAGGACAACAGAAAAGTAGATTTTTTTTTAAGTAATGCCACCTGGAATATTGAAAAAGAAAATCCCTGTTTCTTCAATCATCTATAAGTACAGAAGAAGACATATTTTTTACCTTCCACTTTTTTAATGAAATAATTTAATAACATTATCGTTTTAACCATGGTTATGGTCAAACAAATCCACTATAGTTAATAAACAACCTTAGCAAGAAAAGATTTCCAGATTTTTAAACATATTTCGCAGATTTTTATTTTTTTTTAATTTTCCTTAATGATTTGAAATCCACTGATGTTTTCCTGTAATTCTGGCATTTCCCATCAGTATCTCTTGGTTTCTGGATAACAAAATAGAAAATATTTTTTTTTTATAATAAGGAGACTCAAACCTGAGTTTAATTTGACGTCCAGTTCATCAAATAATTATTAAAAAAAATAGTCTTGACTTAAATAAAAGTTGATACAGCATTGCTATAAATTAAAATTTTATAACTTGTTGCTTTATAGAAATGCTATGCATTATAACCTATTAATTGGGAAATCAATGATTGACAATATTTAATTAATTTAATATTGAAAATAAGAGAGGACAGGGATCCCTATGTGAGAACTCTCAAATTTGATATTTGATCTTCTCATACAGTTCAAGTATAAACAATATTAAAAAAACATTTTTATTCATATAATGAAAATAATATTGAGAAAACATATTGAACACCTACAATTGGTGAAGTTCCGTTCTTTATAATGACTATGTTAAAATAACAGTTTACTTTAGAAGTAACTCACTTGTTTATCAGGCAAATACCTCTTCAGCTAAGCTATAAGAACAAAATATTCATAAACCAATACTAATCTAGTGTTATACTCGCTGAGGCCTATTGGGTTGGTACAGAATAGAAGGATGTCTGGTTATATTCTTTCACTTATTAAGAATCTGGATCTAAATAATGATGTTATATATATATATATATATATATATATATATATATATATATATATATATATATATATATATATATATATATATATATACATATATACTAATGTAAATATTAAATAGTGGCACGAAAGCGGTGACGTCACGAACTACAGTCAAAAATGGACAAAGAGAGATGGAAGAGGAAGCAAGTGCCATATGTCAAGAAGAGAGAAGCCCGCTAGTAAAGAGAATCAAGAGAGAAGGTAGCCAGCCGGTTAGTAATTTCTAAATAAATAAAAATAAAATAATAATAAAAATACAATTATATTTATTTATTTTTACTTTAGCCCTCAAACCCCAACCAACTTCTCTTCAAATTAATAAATGATTTAAATAATTATATTTCTTTAACAAATTAAATATTAATTGAAAAAAAATTGCTACTCTAGGTATAATTTTTATTATAATACACACATTTCATAAACTTAATTATTTAAAATTCTTTTTACATTACAAGTTATTTTATTTGCAACAGATAACTATTAAATAACACAAATATTTTCATGTACTAACATAAATATGCGAATATTTAGGAAAAATATAATTATATGGTAAATAATATCTCTCTCTCACTCTCTCTCTCTCTCTCTCTCTATATATATATATATATATATATAGATATATATATATATATATATATATATATATATATATATATATATATATATAGAGAGAGAGAGAGAGAGAGAGAGAGAGAGAGAGAGAGAGAGAGAGATTGGAAAATACACAGAAAACTATAATACTCTTTTAGTTGTTTTTATTTATTTTTCATTTCGTTACCTAGTTGAAAGGAATATGAAATACCACCCTCAATATTTTGGAAAAATGTGGCTTCAATATTGAAATATCTTTTTGAATTGAAAATGTCACAAATAACCTGGCAATGAATTACTGCACTCCAGTAATAATCACTGCACTATATCGCACACTGTCTCCTCCATGTTTAATTCACTAGCGGAGAATCCAGAATTTAATTTTGGGGAGCTTCAGCTCAAAAGCTTTTTTTTTTTCCATATATACAACGAAAATTATATTGGAAAAAAAATAAAGATACTAACTACCTATATGAAATGGTGTTTAAGTGATTCTTGAAGTTCTACTAAATGTAATTATACGAAAAATAATACTTAGAGATATTTTTTAAATAATTTTTCATAAAACATGGTAACATTCTACCATTTTGGGGGGCTTCACCCTGAAAGCACTCCCCCTTCTCCCAGACAAATGGAACTACACTTCCATTTTCCATTAAGCCGGTGGATTAATTTCAGTTATATTGAGACGATTCGGTCATAAATTTGGTTGATCTTCTATTCTCATGAATCTGTAAAGGAACTGAAGAACTGAAGGAAAATTATAAGATATTTTAGTCTAATGGATGAAAAAATTATTTGTACTATATTTTACAGCAAAGTAATAAAAAGAATGATATTACTATACAACAGTTTTAAATGTTACTGTATGAATACTTTTTTATTTTATAATAAATAAATTGTAAATATTCTAGTAATTTTTGATTCTAATAAAATAAATTGTTACATAGAATGAATTACTATTTCATATAGATGGAATAAAAATATTAATTAAAACAAAATGAAGTTAGCTTTAATGAGAAAAAATAGATGTTAAAGACTGTTTTGACTAACTGTAAAGATTACATAAAAACATTCAGATATGATTCTAAAAACAATATGACACTTGCCTGACACGTTGACTGCTCAACTAAGAGATAACTCTTAGTAAATATTCTTGCTAAGTTAGTTTGCAAATACTACAAAATTTCATAGAGCTTTTTGATGATTATTATGTATCAAATCAGAGTTTTTAGCAATATGATATGAATAAGTCATATTGTTTTTTTTTTTTTTTTAAATGGAATTCTGAAAAATATCCTAGCAGCAATACATAAAATATTATAAAATTAATCATAATTTTAGTTACAAATTTGTTATTGATTGCTTGGGTTTAATAACCAAAATTTGAATTTGAAATTATTTTAAAAATCTATTTAACAGTAGTAACATATTTCTTATTGTAAGTGCTGCATCAGAACCTCTCAATACTAATAATGGCTCAAAGAGGAAAATAAAGAATAAATCTCTGAACTGTAAACTTAGTATACTAACTTTTAAATTAAAGTTTTACTGGCTTTGAGGATTGAATTTTGATATGATAATAATCCAGGTCTTCATCTGATACAGTAGAAGGAGCTCCTGACAAAGGATCATGGCCATCAGTCGTTTTTGGAAATGCAATCACATCTCTGATTGTTTTTGCACCAACCATAAGTGACACTAATCGGTCAACTCCTTAAACATAACAGTTATATTAATTAATTAATAATACACCCAATATTTAAATTAATGAATGCTAAGTTTAGTTAGCAGAAAAATAAATGTTTAGTTAATAGTTTCTGAGAATAGATAAACACATACGGAGTATAACCAACTTTCCTCTTATTCTTTTTAATTTTAATGGTAGCAAGTTTAGTTTAACAAAAAGAATATTCATTTACATTTCTGAACTGTTGAGTTTCAACAAATAATCCACAATAACTTGGTTTTGAGTATCACTCACCATGGTGGTTCTGATTTATTTTTGTTTTTTCTTTAGGACTATTAAATAATTAATTTGTAATTAGAATTACTCCACAGGCAAAGAAAAAGATTCCAAAGCAATCCAAGTGTTTTAGTTCTTTGCTGCTTCATCCAGTTCTTGATCCTCATGTTCATAACATAACTTGAAACAAAGTTTGCTCATAGCAATCTCGTTAATAACTAATGACCAGGAATATGAAACCTGACACTGTTTAGAAGGTCTGAATTGAATCTATAATCCATTCTGTATGATTCTTCTTTCGGAAACAAGTTTTTGGTTCCATCCTGATTAACAAAAGACCAAGGCATCATCACTTGTGTCTTTTCTGGTTTGCTGGCTGTATCCACAGATTACTTCTTCCTAGGCAAATCAATATCTTGCTTAATTAATTTGATCAGTTAAATGTGTTAAATTCCCTTTGTATTCAATTACTTCCATGTCATAGTGAAAATAGGAGTCCACTTTTGTTTCAAGCAGTTCATAAAATGCATTCTTATTATTGCTTATTTAGAACATCTAGCAATTTTCAGCATTTACCGGAGTAGAAAATACTTCCCAAGAAATTAGATGATAGAGTTGTAAAAACAAGTCTTGAAGGCTTGGCAGTTTTGGACCTCGAACTTTCCGTGCTCAAGCTGAAGGCTCATAAGGTTCGAGGATTGATGAATTTATCTTTAGAAAAAAAAAGCTTGCATTATTGTAGCTTCGTACGTTTTTGTAAAAAAAAATATTTTTTTTTTCTGTTGGTATTAACAAGGTGAATATATTTCTAAAACATAATTTGAATAAATATAAAATTAAAAAGAAAAACAAGTAAGGCTCGAACCTCAAAAGCTCGAGCTTTTTGGGATCAAGCCTTATAATCTTTTAACTTAAAGCTCTAAAAGAGCTTTTTAATACATCATCCACAGTTTATAACAAAAGAAACCACATCTGATAGCATGTTTTATTCAAAAAATAAAAAATATCATTGACTTATTACAGACATTAAGAGAAATTATGCGAAGCTCTTAGCCAGAGATAAAACCTATCGGCACTGGGACACGAACTCATAGTTATTTTTTATCTATAATTCGGTTATCAGGCTGCTGGCCAACACGTGCTGCGGTGCACACGCGTTAGCCCACTCAGTCACCCAGCCCCCATTCTACAAAGGGTCACGATTGAGTGGGTCTATCCTATAACCATGATAGTCCCGGGAGAGATGATTACTCCAAGAGAGATGATGACCTACCTTGACATAAGTTGAAAAAAAGTTGAACAAGACTCATTTGCACTATCTATCAGGGTAACCCTCAACATGAATGGTCTTAATGGTGTTGTTAAGCCTTCTCAGCATTAGTTACCCAGCGACAATGGTCTTCTAAAAATGAATGGTATATCATTTAAATAGGCGTCTTTAAATATGCCTCTTCTCCCTGGATCAGAATATCTCAACCTAATAGAAGAAGAGTTAGCATCTATCAATTAGATGGGTCTGCTACAGAATAACAGAGTAAATGTTTCACGATGACCATGATAGTAGAAAAACTTGATTCGGAATTAAAATAAAAATTCATTATTTTATACCATAAAATTGTAAATCCGTAATAGCTGAAAGACAAGATAGAGAAAATAATAAAATAAAAAATGTATAAAATAATTACCTAGTGCAATGCCACCATGAGGAGGGGCTCCACTCTCTAAAGCATCAATAAGATGTCCAAGAGAACTACTAAATATGTTTAACATAGAAAGAATGTTTTTTTGGAGATCAGGACAATGGATCCTCATAGATCCCCCACCAACTTCATAACCATCTAAAACTAAGTCATAGTGCAATCCACGTACCTGAGAAACAAACAAAATGTATAATTTAACAAATAATGGGAGATTAAATTGTTCAATTAAGCTAAAGTGAAGTAGTTTAAACCAAATTCCTCCATAGTCATCAATGTTTGTCAATCCTATGTAAATCAGCAAATATTATACTTGGCGAAAAAGAAAAAATCTATGACCTCTTCAACAAAGCAGAGAAGGAGGTCATCAGATAGTGATTGATCTGGCACCCTATATGCATGAATGGGTAAATATTAATGCCATCTTGCAATACCTACCTCTCTCCTCTTATCTGATTAGACCCTTGCATTCTTTCCTCATTTAGTCTATCATAAACATATACAGCTGTCCATTGTTTTTCTTGCAGATTAAATTGATTTTTATTTTTTTAATAAGTTTATAGGTCATAAATTTTAAATATGTTAATAATTTCATTCAATTCAGTTGGTTTTTACTACTTTCATTACATCTGGCTTGCCAAATATTCTGGATAATTTAATTCCAGAAGACTAATTGCAGGATTGTGAAACATTTTTAAATATGAGAAATGGAAAAATATTGTCTATATTCTAGTTAACTGTTTTCGAGGAAGCAGATATTAATTATGAATTTCTAGAAGAATAAATAGAAATATAGAAACATGACAATAATATTAAACTAGTATATAACTTAGTTATTGCAAGAATATTACCAACAAAGGATTGGTGTGGAGGAGAGATAGATCATCAGGATGAGGTGCTGTGAATGGATGATGAACACTGTTTAAACTTCCATCTTCAGCAGTTTCAAACAAGGGAAAGTCAGTTAACCATAAAAATTTTCCTTTGTCATCACTTTCCCAAGGTCCAGTAATACCTTCAGAACGGAGCCATCTCAAATACCACACTCTACATTTTCCTAAGAGTTGTAACTGAAAAAACAAATTTATATTTTATAAAATTAATTAAGAAACGTAATTAAATGAAAGATTTATCTTTGTATTCAAGCAAGTGTTAATAGTCTAATTTAACTTTGCACAATATATTCAACAATTAATTTTATACTTCTTTGTAAACTGTGATCTCATATTAATAATATGTAATAAATCACCAAAATTCATTAAGGTCAACATAAATAAAAAACAAAAAAAGATCTGGCATGCCGTTCATCACACAACTTTCACTTACTTCAATAACTAAATTTCTGCTCAAATAGGGCTAGTTAATAACTGATTTTTTAAAAATATATTATCAGGGGTTTGTTAAAGATTATTTATCATTTGTTTTTCCAAACAATAAACACTGCTTACAATATTTTCAGCAACATTTACTTCTTCTCTCACAAAAGTATGATAAAATATTTTTAAACGATTCTATAACAGTGTGACCCATTATATAATTTTTGTGTGTCAAGGTTAAAAATAATTTTAAATGTTTTATTTATGTTTGGATATTTCATTCAACAGTTTCCATGGAAACATTTATTTCTAATTAAATAATATTAGTTTTCAGAAAATATTAGTCATCAATTTTGATCACTAGAGAGAAGAAAGTAATAAAGATATTAACATTTTCTGTCAATCAATTTCATTAAAAATGTTGCTGCAACATCTCAGGCATATACCAATGCTAAAATGTAATAAAACTTTTGTTTTCCAAACTAGACTGCTCACATAAATAAGCACACTGACTAACAGTGGGACTTGGTTATTTAGGCTCAAAGCACCTTAAAATGTGTATATATTTCTGTTGAAAACTAGGATTCAAAAATTTTTAAGATCACTTTAATATTAAATATACAGCTAAGTGAAAGTAAAAACACAAAATTAAACAACTATGCTTTTATACACAGACCAATTATTTAACCTAAATTTTTAAACATTTTTTGACTTAAAAAAAGCAGATTTAAATTTAAACAAGAAAATGAGAAAAAAAAAACCCAATACTTATTTTAAGTACATTTCTTTCGAGACAGAGAGAAAATGAGTATGGAGGAATGGATAGCAGATTTGAAGTGAAGAAGTCATGAAACATATGATGGATGTTGGGAATGATTAATGTAGTAGGAATAAGATGCCATGAAGCAAAAGAAACGTAAGAAGACTGGAGCTAATGGAAATTACATCAGAGTATGTCTCATCAATGTCAAATCATTCAGTCAAGCCTTAAGATCCACTAAGCCAGGAGCGTAAGCAGCTCAACAATAGTAAAAGTAAGGAAAAATTAATGAGGTAGCTTGATAGTTAGTATATTCAACAAAAAGTATCAGTAACTGGTGAAAAGTAACATCGAAACAGAATGAATATTTTAATCAATTCATACTAGAAACGTGCATTGTGGAGAATACAGACATCAGAATCATATGAAACAAATTTTCTATAAAAAATAGTTTTATTATGAAATCTATTAAAATATAAGGATAATTATAAGTATATCAATAGTCAGGACTGTACTTACTACTTTTTTCTCTTCACCACGAGCAATGAAAACAAGATCTTCTGATTCAATACAATGATTACTTATAAACTTCTCAGGATTAATACAAAAATTCAATAATGATTTTTCATTACTTTTAAAGTTTTTCTTTTTATAATTCAAAATAGTAACTTCCACAGCACTGTCTTTAGTAATTTTAGATAATTCCTTTTTAACTTCACCACTGAAAAATTCCTTAAGGAAAGAAATTTAGTTATTACATTTTTTTGTGAAAAACAATTCAGTTTGTATTAATTGGATAGCTATGAAAAAAAATCCAGCACATAAAAAACATTTCTGAATAACATGGTCCGGATTTTTATGGAATTGCATATTTTGTATGCATTCAGTTTTTAAAAAGGGGATAAAATATTTTTACGAATCAGAGTGGGTACACAGATCTGGGTGGATGGAATTAATTAAATTTGAATTGGTGATAAAATTTTGATTATTTCAAATAAAACTAATAATCATAATTATAATAATAAATTAATTACATACTACAATCGTAGGTTCATTTTTTATCCATGAACAGTGACAAATTAACAAAATAATGCTACCTACCTTTAGCCATTGACTTCTTAGAATATGTATTTTTTTTCATTTTCTTACTATCGTTTCTTTTAAACTTCTAAATATCACAAACGGTTTCAAAATTGAAATACTGGATAGAACCTTACCCTTATAAAGCAGTTTTTAAAATATTTTCTTTTAGAGAAATATTTCAATAGATAGATTATGTTATCGGAAATAAAATTTAGAAATTCATTTATTAATTATAATGATGCTGAGTTTCCTAATTCGTAATCCATAGCATTATATTTATATTTTGTCCATGTTATCAATAAATTTAAATTAAAATATTTTAATTTGTAACAAGCATCTCACATTATGTTTTTAATAATCTGTTGACTTATATTTTAACTGTTTTCATATTCATTTGCAATTTTTAAATTGTGTGATTCAATGTTTAGCTGTATTATTGCATATTTGGAGTTTCTTCGCTGCAGTTGATGGCTTATTTTATTGCATATTATATGGCTTATTTTGTGGGGTTTACTGCATAAAAATCCGTACTCTTCTGATAAAACTGGTCAATTTTCAATTTCAATTTTTTTAATTTTTAAAAATTAATTTTCCATCAAAACGTGGTACAGGTAGAAAAATATGGACATTTATGACATAACTAATTTTAAGGTGGATATAATTACTTACTGCAGCCTGTGGAATTTTCACTCCCTTAGTAGTTGTAGAATCTCTTTCATAGGTTTCAACTTCAGTAACTTCAAAAATCTAATAATTTATAAATAAAGATGAAGGTAAAATAGATATATTCATTTATGAAAATTATCTATATGAACTTACAGGACATTTAAATGAAAGATCAGGTTGATCAGTACCATACATCTTCATTGCATCAGAATAAGATAATCTTGGAAATGGAATTTGTAACTGTTGAGGCCAACTATAGAATAAAACTTTTTCAATGAGTTCCATAACATTTTCTGCTGAACAAAATGACATTTCCAAGTCTAACTAAAATCAACAGGATGAATAAAATACTTTCTGTACAATTAAATAATCATAAATGGTCTAGTAAATCATTATTAAAAACAATTAATCAAAATATTTAACTAATAAATCTTTATCCTAAACAAGCAATCTAAAATAATTTGTAAATTGAAAAAATACCAGTGTGTGGTGGGAGTAGGTTAGATGTATTGCTCAGCCTTTATGCAAAGATCATGAAAAATTGAACTATTCAAAGCAACCATTTTCTAATCATTATAATTTAATTCAATATTATTACCTAAATAACCAGAATAAAATGGCATTTAAAAAAAATTTAGGATAGCAGTGAACTAATGATTAACCATTTTTAGGTTTGGAATGGAAACATAGATATAGTTACAGGCAGAAGAGGCTGTTTAATTGACTAAAGTTAAACAGATAATAAATTATTTGCATGAGAATTAAAACCATTGGTACAATATTAAATTACCTGTGTAAATTCCGGTTGACGATCGGGTCGAGCACCTTCATCTCTATAACATCTAGCTATTTGGAAATATTTATCAATTCCTCCAACCATAAGAAGTTGTTTTAACTGTTGGGGACTTTGTACCAGGCTATAGAATTCACCGGCACACTTTGTAGGAACAATATATTCTCGGGCACCCTAAAATGGTTTCGTTATATGTTCACTTAATTTTTATGCTAATGAAAACACGTAAATATACAATACTTTTACCCAATTAAAACGATTTATGATTATTATTATCTTAGGACATGGATTAAAGGCTAGAATTCTTTTACAGCATGCTACCCACAACAGCACATCTGCTGTTTCCCTATCCTTGATGGATCCATACTACTGAGGATGGCTTGCTCTCATTAGAACCAGAAGCAGATTTTCTAGTAGCTTGATCACCAGTGGAAGAAGACAAATGTATCTTTAAGAAGTTGCTTCTCTTTGTCTCCTATCTTGTAGAGAAATCTGATACTGGCAATATTCCATATTTCAGATTCCATATTTCAGAAAGATATCCTCTATTTAAGCAGTCATTGCAGATCACTGTTAGCCGATCTTTAATAAGGGGCTACTTTTCTTGAAAACTACTAAGTCAATAATATCTAAGCCTGGGAAACATTCAATATACTACCATCCATAGCAGTTTAAAAATCCCATAAGCCTCATGATCGACACATGTCCGTACTGGACAGAAACATCATGTTGCATTTCACAAAGGCATTATTTTCATTGTTAAGAGATGGGTTATTTCTGAGGTATGGCAGCTGAAAGAAAATGTTTGGATATCTGATTGCTGCAATCATCTGTTACATAAAAAACTTGCCCAGGGCTACACTATATATGATACTTAAGGATTTTCTTCCTCAAACAAAATGTATCAAGATCTCTGCTTCTGTGAGCATCCTGGGCAACAAACTAAAAGTAATATTTAATCTTCTTAACTATTTCATATTCAGTTGAGCACATTACAAGCCCAGTCCATAATTTCTCATTTAAACAAATTTTTAGCATAAAAATAGTGCCTCCTGTGAGGTGTAATGAGAACCATTACATGCAAAAAAGCTCCAAGAAGCTCATCTTGTGGCCCAATACTTTCATAGCATAGCTCAATTTTAAAATATTTGAATGTTCGAAAATCTTTTATTTTCCTCAGACTTTTTGATTGTCTTCATATGGCTGAATACATCATTGCATTGTTTAATTATTTATGTTTTCAATTTGGTGAGACAGATTCAGGATTTAGTGGACGAGTCTTATTTAAGACATATTTCGTCAGCTGAATCTAATCCCGATGATTTCTTCATTATCTCATTGATTACTGACCTTGTTCATCTTCGAATATCTAATCATTTCTTACCATAGTCTTTTTCCTCATAAATATAGATAATTATTTCCTAATCTTAAATAATTTTTTTTTATGAAAAATTTTTCCTAGTATATTGAGGTCTTTGTTTGAATGTTTCATTTTGAAAGAAATTCCTCATCTTCAAGGTATAAAAAAGAGTTTGGTTCATTATCTTTTGATGAATTTGATATTGCTAAGACTAAAATTATTTCTATTGTTGATGTAATTATTACCCTCAAGCTGAATAACTACAGTCTAATCCTCCTTGGAGCTAGACTTCAGTATTACAAATTAAATCTGAAGTTGTAATCAATATACTTTCTAAGCATTTTCACAAATAATATCTTGATAGATCTCTTCCATGAGGGGTTTCTTAATGCTTGAATTTCAGTAAATCAATCTGTTATTCAACAGAACTTTTTCCCCCTTCCTTTTATAGTCTCATAAAACAGAGAAAAGTGCACTGTATCAGGTTCATCAGTTTTCTCAGAAGCCTGTACAGCCTTTCATGGGTGATTTTCCCTCTTGTAGATTGAGCCATGCTAAACAGGGCTCAATTTTGCTGACCCTCAAAGAATTTTCTGCATATCATTATCCTTAGGACATCTAAAGTGTTTCACTTGAAATAACATTTAAATTATTCAAAGAGTACTGTTTTGTTAGGGTCATTATTACACTTATCATTATCACTACTATGGTGTTTCTTCTAGTCATCTCAGATAATAGTAACAATTTTAAGGTGCATCAAAATACTTCAAGATTCAATAACTGTTAGAAGAAAAAGAATATTCAAGTTCCATTATATTATACTCAACTTTTAACTTGGAAAATAATTTTTTCAATGATCAGTGATTTTGGCAGGTATATATAATAAAAATCATTAAATAAATTTAATTTAAAATTTAAGCGAAAAACCTTTTATGGCTATTTATATTGAAGTAACATTAAATTAATATCTTTTATCCACCCTCTCCTTTGTTCCTAATGACTTACAACTTATTTCCTTAATGTCATGCATTTCATTGGTGGAGAAGCTCTGAGAAAAAGAACTATAGGATATTCATAGCAACCATTTTTCACAATGGGAATTTACTTGAGAGTGAATCCAATTTTGGTTTTTGGCATTTAGAAAACCTTTGTATATAATAAGATCATTCCAAGTGAATGACAACTAACAGCCACTAGCCTCATTGTTGCTGATTGGAATTTCACAAGCCTCTAATTGCTTAAAAGAATATCGCAAGATGGAATTAAGTGGATGGTTGTGATACAAAATTTATATATTAATTAAAATTGTTATCTTATTTCATAAATCAAATAAATCCAGTTATCAAAACTTAAAAAGTTATACAAAGATGGGCCAAAAAGACATTTGGAAAAAATTGAATCCAAAAAAAAAAAACCTAGATGAATTTTCAAATTCATTACTGCAATATCTTTCTAGTACAAAACATTTTGTAGTCCATATAACAATAAACTTATATTTGTATCTATAATTAATAATTATGAAGTAGCTAAAATTATGAACATATATGATTAAGTCCTTTTATTCTCTTACACCTGGTGTTTTCCTGAAAAGAGTAGGGGTTTCAACTTCAACAAAATTTTCTTTATTAATAAGATAGTTTCTCATTTTCATTAGGAGTTTAGATCTTTCTCGTAAATTTTTTTGCATTTCTGGGTATCTTATATCTAAATATCGATGTTTTATACGAAGATTTTCTGAGGCCTGAAATTTAGAAAACAAACAGTATGTAATTATAAAACTGAAAAAAACAACACAAAAAAAACATAAGAGATATAAAATATTAATATAACAATAATTAGGGAAAGCACCCTGTCCGCCTAACGGTGGACCAATCCCTATTTTACAAATTATACAACTGTTCATTTAGTTGTACCATTCATAGCTCAAATTGCATAACTGTAATTTACATGTGTTCTGTAGTTGAGATTTATTATTTTTTTCGAAACAGTGTAAGCAGTAACACAGACACGCGCGTACACGAACACACGCACGCATGTTCACACACATATACAAATACATGTATTTACCTACTTCACCCCATTTGAACATACGCCTCAGAAATTTACGGTTCAGAAAAACAGATGCACTTACAAAAACTACAATTATTTCAATAATATGCTTATAAACAACATAGTTATGTTGTTAGACCTTTTAACACGTCCGTCACCTTCATGACTACCACATTGATATTGCCCTACTGACAGAAACTCACTTCTCTCAACGTTCATATTTCTACATACGTGACTACATCACTTATAGATCAGACTAAGCCGATAACACTTCTTGCATCCCTATCCATAAATTCTTATTCCATTATCTCATCCCTTCAACTCCAACTGAGGCTCTTCAAGCAACTTCAGTAATCATTTCAACTCGTCCTTTCCTTTTAACAATCTTAGCTGTATTCTGTCCTCCTTGTCATTCTGTGATCTATTTCCTACAACTTACTTGAATCCTTATTTCAATCCTCTGGATCGAGCTTTATTGCTGGAGGAGACTACAATGCTAAACAACAACGAAAGGGTTGCCGACCATCCAACTCCCGTGTTAACATACTATCTTCTGTCTCAAATTCCAATAGTTACTCCGTCCTCTCTCCTATGAATCCTACCTATTGGCCAAATTCCCTAAAAAAAAACGCCCTGATATCCCGGACATATTTATCATCTCCCAGATTTCCTCTCCTCATGGCACAATCAAATGTCTGGATGACCTCTACTCAGATCATACTGCAGTTCTGCTTTCCACACCAACCCACAACCTTCGCTCCTAAGCCGTTGTTCCCTCCTACACTAATAACAGGACGAGTAAACTGCTGGAACAAATTTCGAAAAGATATGCAAAATAAATTGGACCTAAATTTTCCACTTAAGACGAAATATGACATTGACACAGCCATAGAAGTACTTACTACATATATAAGTGAAAAAGTAAACGATAATACGGAGGAGAGTTTGTTGCGCCATCGATCTTGGGGAGGAGGGAATGAGCACCCCTACATTGATAAGCGATTGAATGACAAAATAATATCGATTACAATGATTTACTCATAATAATAGAACAAAACATTTCTAAAAATTACAATAGGCTGTATGATAGACAGGGGATGGGTGGCTTACGATCAAACAACATGATGAACGAAGATATCATTTTTATTTTGTTTTCTCCTACATCGCCTTTTAGGCTAGGGGTGAGGGTGGTAAATTAATGCCAGAGTTAAAAGACTCCTCGGGCACCGGGACGCGAAATCGTAATTATTTGATTTTATTTTATTGTCTCCAACTTCGGTTATCAGGTTGCCGGACAACGCGCGGTGCTGTGCACACGCGTTAGCTCGCTCGGCCATCCCACCGCTAAAAGAATATAGTGGAACCAGTCTTGAAGCGAGAACCTTCCACTATGTGAGAGCTGTATGCTAGCCACTAGACTATGGAGACTCTTAGAACAAAGATATCGTGAAAATATAATTACAAGTTTTCGTCCCAACCCAAAGGCAGGGAGGAGGCTTTAAATTCTGGAATTAATCTCCCGTCCTCTCCTCTAGCTCGGGAAAACACCCATATAACCGAAAAGGCGAGGAAGGGGAGGACGTGGGATATCAAAACACTATAACAAACAATTCATAACAGAACTGGACTATTAAAAGATGAAATTTACTTTTGTTTCATATTCCCCACTGAAGGTAGAGAAGCTTTGTATTCGTGCGAGCCATTAAAAAAGTTTTGTGCTCAGAATCGAAAATTTAAAACACGTTTTGGACATCAAGGAACAAAATTTGTTTTACCTCTCCATTGAAAGAATATCAGCTACTACAGTTAGTCCGATTTTATTAAATTTTCAGGCATTGTTCAGGTTGGTACCTACCTTTTCATGATAAGTACCTAGAAGGTTCCATAGCAATGTCATCAAATCGGATCTACTACTGCAGCCTCCACATGCACAAACGTTACAGAACTGATACAGCTATATATTTAAAATGACTCCTCTGAGCAGGTTCCAAGTTGGAGGAAAGTTAGGATAAGTGAAGAATGATCCAGTATTAATTTTATCAAATTCCATCCACTATTTTCGCTTTCGGAGCTTATATTTTAAGAACGGTTCCTTCAATCAGGCACAACGGAATTGTAAAAAAAAAACAGCAACCTCAAAATATTTCCAGGAATACGGTGAAACAGCAAAAGTAAAAATAAAAATAAAACGGGACTGAAGGAAGAACTGAATATCTCGAACAGGGACTAGGGTCCAGTGACGCCGTGTCAGAAGAACAGAAAAAAAGGTCAAAGCTATTAATAAAAAAAAAAATGTCTAATTTAGAGGCAACCGGATAAAACGGACCAGAAACAAATTTTACACAGTGTACAGTTGACAACATGTTATGCATCACCTTTTCTGGGAAGAACGAAAAGAAAAAATATGCACCTACCCTTTCTCTGATAACAGTAACTCAAAATTAACATTTAAAATCACTAACCTGGGTCTGAAAAATTACTTTAAATGAAGATTTTTATATTAAATAAATAAAAATAAACGTTTTATACACACACAATTAGTAATATTAATAAGAAAATATTACCTTATTATAATTTCTAATTGAAAAAGGCAACTTTTTTCTAACAGCGTTAATAACACTGAAATCATTGGCTATAACTTCTATTTCTCCAGTAGGCACTTTCTGTAAAAAAAATAATTAATCAATAAGGAAACACAAGCAAAATAATATTTTTACCTCGGGGGTATAGGTCAACATTTTACAATTCCAAACTTTTACAGGAAAGCGGCATGAACCAATGTTTGAACCATGTAACCTTTTGGAAAATTAAATTAGAGAATTATTTGATGAATTTTCGATTTGTGATATTTCAACAGTATCCACTGCCAATTAGTGTGACAACTTTTGACCTGTCTAAGACAGACAATGTAAACCTCATAACTCCATTTTAGCAAACTTTGCAATGGAAAATAACAGTTTAATAACTAATAGTCATACAATCCATAATCAACGGATCATACAATCCATAAGCAACGAATCGTACAACCGATAATCAACAAGTGATGTAATAAATAGGACTTTTGTTATTTTAATGGTATTTATGATTGGTTAGCTGTAATTTTTTAGCTTCAGCTCAGTTAAAAATACAATCAAAAATTTTATAATAGCCCAACATGGCCAGAAAATAATTTCTATTCAAAGTTGAGCGGTAAGTGAAAGTTGTTTGTTGTGCGCACCAGATTTTTTACAATGTCATTGCCTTGATTAGGTGGATTTTAAATACTTTTTACAAACTTAAAAATATTTTTTCAAATTAAATTTCATTTAATTTCCTTGAAAACAAGTGATTTGTGTTAAATATTATTAGTTTTCAAAAATTATTATTTACACCTTTTTCTCCACTCTCCGTTACCTTCTACAACTTTCTATATTAGATTTTTTTTTCTAAAATTCTCCTCTTTCCAACGATATATTATACGTATACGTTCTGACTAGAATTTCTGGAGATTCATTTTCGACCTGGATAAGAATTTTTATTTGTTTCCCCTTTATTTAATTATCAAATTCTTTCAAAAGTTATGTTTAGCATTTTTTCGTAACTTTTAATAATGAGAAATAGTTAATTATTTTAAATGAATAATATAAAAGTTACTTTAGAGGAAGACGTATATGAATATTGGGCATTTAAGCCCTGTAAAGTGACATCAACGGGGATAACACCTAAATGATATTAAAGACCACTTAATTATACAATGATAAACCGAGTTTAATCAAAATCGTTAGAGCCGTTTTTGAGAAAATTGTAAAAATGAGTTTCAGCGTTGATATAAAGTGGCACTTCCGGTAACCGATTTTAAGGAAAAAGTTGCTAAGACATCTAAGGCTTTTTCCTATCTTAAATACGTAATATTAGTTTCGTACGAATTTTCGTTTTCGAACTAGGGCGTTCACATACACACAGACGGACAGACACGCAGACCATTTTTCGGGACTTGGTTATTTGGACTCAGGGTACCTCAAAACGTGTATTTCCGTTGAAAAATCAGACTCGAAAATTTTCTCGGTCGCAATGCTTATCCTACAATATATTACATACATAGGTAAGTGAAAGCAAATAACTATTTTATTGCACTTGTGTGAAAGAAGTAAAATATGAAATCATTTCATGGATGTATAAATCATATGTTTATAACCTTAAATACCTTTACTGTAGTTTAGTGATTACAGATCTGATATTATATTTCAATAATTAGGTATCAACGTTTATTCCGAAAAATTGTCATGTAACGTTTTAGAAAATTGAATTAGTGAATAATATGATGAATTTTCCCGTTGTGAAATCCCATCATATTATCAGGTCTTCCTCCAAAGTACCTTTAATTTGGTTGATTATAAATAATAACTATTTATAATTGGTAATTGGTTGGCTGTCGTGGATAATGAAGAGAAGAATAGTTGGGGTGTTCAGTCAAAAAGGAAGGCAAAAATAAATTATAATATTTATTTTTTACATATGCCGACGTTTCGACCTGAAGTTCAGGCCTTCATCAGGGCTAAGAAAATAACCAGATAACAAGGTATGAGAAACATAAGTAATGATGGTAAAAAAGATAATAAAAAATAAAAAAATAAAATAAAATAAATTATTAGAAAAATAAAATAGATAAATATAAAGTAAAATGAAATGTGTATGTATGTATGTATATATATATATATATATATATATATATATATATATATATATATATATATATATATATACACACATACACATATACATATATGTATATATATATATATACATACACATATACATATATATATATATATATATATATACATACACATATACATATATATATATATATATATATATATATATATATATATATATATGTATATATATGTATATATGATATATTTTTATTTCAATTTTTCCCCCTTATTACTCAATAGTTATTTTTCTTTTGAATTTTTCAAATTTTCTGAATAATATATCTCTCGTTCCTATTTAGGCTTCCAGCGCTTTAGTTCAAACTTCGTCGGATAACCGTTAGAGATGACGCCACCTACACATCTCTTCTCTCTCCCCCTCCCTTGTAACGACTTTTATTCTCCCTTCGACACTTAAGGAGAAAGGTAGTACTTCTTTTATTTCTTTCTTATTTCAGCTTTCTCTTTCTTTTCTCCTTTCTTTCTTCCCTTTCTTCCCTCCTTCCTTTCATTCCTTTTCTCTGTTTTTAACTCTTTATTATATTATACATTGTCTGTACATCTTGATAGACTTTACAATATCTCAATTTTCTATCTAACTACTCCATTCTCAATGTTTTAATTTTACTATTTATTTTCATTTCTTATATAACTTTATATTTCTTTTTTATGTTTTACATTTTATTCTAAGATTCCCATTGTAACACTTTTGTCACCCCTTTTTGATTATGCCTACTTCATCATTCCACACTATGTAACAGTTTTTATTATTTATCTCTTAGTTCTTAGTCATTATTCTAACAATTTCATTTTACTTTATATTTATCTATTTTATTTTTCTAATAATTTTTTATTTTATTTTATTTTTTATTTTTTATTATCTTTTTTACCATCATTACTTATGTTTCTCATACCTTGTTATCTGGTTATTTTCTTAGCCCTGATGAAGGCCTGAACTTCAGGTCGAAACGTCGGCATATGTAAAAAATAAATATTATAATTTATTTTTGCCTTCCTTTTTGACTGAACACCCCAACTATTCTTCTCTTCATTATCCACGACAGCCAACCAATTACCAATTATAAATAGTTATTATTTATAATCAACCAAATTAAAGGTACTTTAGAGGAAGACCTGATAATATGATGGGATTTCACAACGGGAAAATTCATCATATTATTCACTAATTCAATTTTCTAAAACGTTACATGACAATTTTTCGGAATAAACGTTGATACCTAATTATTTAAATATAATATCAGATCTGTAATCACTAAACTACAGTAAAGGTATTTAAGGTTATAAACATATAATTTATACATCCATGAAATTATTTCTTATTTTACTTCTTTCACACAAGTGCAATAAAATAGTTATTTGCTTTCACTTACCTATGTATGTAATATATTGTAGGATAAGCATTGCGATCGAGAAAATTTTCGAGTCTGATTTTTCAACGGAAATACACGTTTTGAGGTACCCTGAGTCCAAATAACCAAGTCCCGAAAAATGGTCTGCGTGTCTGTCCGTCTGTGTGTATGTGAACGCCCTAGTTCGAAAACGAAAATTCGTACGAAACTAATATTACGTATTTAAGATAGGAAAAAGCCTTAGATGTCTTAGCAACTTTTTCCTTAAAATCGGTTACCGGAAGTGCCACTTTATATCAACGCTGAAACACATTTTTACAATTTTCTCAAAAACGGCTCTAACGATTTTGATTAAACTCGGTTTATCATTTATCAATTTATTAAAACATCCATAGTTATATTCCTTTCCTTTTTGCTGACAACTCCCTTATATATATATATATATGTATATGTGTACATGTGTATATATATATATATATATATATACATACACATATACATATATATATATATATATATATATATATATATATATATATATATAATATATATATATATATATATATATATATATACATACACATATACATATATACATATATATATATATATATATATATATATATATATAATATATATATATATATAAGGGAGTTGTCAGCAAAAAGGAAAGGAATATAACTATGGATGTTTTAATAAATTCAGAATTTGGGAGTAGGCTAAAGAAAAGTTCTGTTTGTCAGATTTAAGATTCACTGTCTTTGGTTGAAGCTGGATGTGGAGGGTTTCAGAAATGAGTCGTTTGTCATGGTTGAGAACTGTGGCAAGGATGGATGTTTTGCGAAAGCAAATGAATGATTGAGGGAGAGAGAATGTTCGGATAATTTGGAAGCGGTAAAATTACGAGAGGATACAGAATATTTATGTTGGGTTATGCGGTCTTTTAGGAGATTTTTGGTTTCACCAATTTGGATGAAAAACAATTGGGGGTAGAACATGGAATACGGTAAACGATATGAGGGCGGTGCGAGAGAGGAACCGGATCTTTTAGGGATGTGTATAATTTGGAGAGAGTGTTTTCTTAGCCCTAATGAAGGCCTGAACTTCAGGTCGAAACGTCGGCATATGTAAAAAATAAATATTATAATTTATTTTTGCCTTCCTTTTTGACTGAACACCCTAACTATTCTTCTCTTCAATAACTATTTATCATTGTTAGAAGTTATGGAAACATGCTAAATATAACATTTGAAAGAATTTGATAATTAAATAAAGGAGAAAAAAAGAAAAATACTTATCCAGGTTGAACATGAATATTTGGAAATAACAGTCAGAAGGTATACGTATAATATATCGTAAGAAAGCTGAGAATTAAAAAATCAATATATAATATAGAAAGTTGTAGAAGGTTACGAAGATTGACGACAAAAATATAAATAATAATTTCCAAAAACTAACATTAGTTAACGTAAATCAGGTATTTTCAAGGAAATTTTCTAACTAAATGTAAACTTAAAATTTTTTTTTTAGTTTGAAAAAGTATTTAAAATCCACGGATTCAAGGCAATGGCATTGTTTAACATACTGTTTCATTTTAAGATACTTGTGTGAAAGAAGAAGTGAAATATAAAAATATTTCATGGATATGTTTATAACCTTAAATATATTTACTGTAGTTTAATAACTCTAGATCTGATATTATTTTTAAATAATTAGGTATCTATCGTCAGTTTATTCCGAAAAATCATTATGTAACCGTTTAGAAAATTAAATTATTGAATAATTTGATAATTTTTTATCTTTGCAATATTCCAACAGTATCCACTTACAATTAGTGTTACAACTTTCGATCTGTCTATGACAGGCAATGCAAATATCATAATTCCGTTTTAGTAAACTTTGCAATGGAAAATAACAGTTTAATAACTAATAGTCGTACAATCCATAATCAACGGATCGTACAATCCATAATCAATGAATCGTACAATCCATAATCAACTGGTGATATAATAAATAGTACTGATTGAAGAGAAGGATAGTTGGGGTGTTCAGTCAAATTGAAATGGCGAAAAATAAATAATTTTATTATATTTTTAGTAATAAAATAAAATAAAATAATTTATTTTTAACAACCCAACCATCCTTCTCTTCAAATATTCACTACAGTCAACCATAAACCCACAATTAATAAATAGGACTTTTGCTATTTTAATTGTATTTATGATTTGTTAGCTGTAATCTTTTAGCCTTAGCTCAGTTAAAAATGCAATTCAAAAATTTTATAATAGCACAACTTGGCCAGAAAATAATTTCTATTCAAAGTTGAGCGGTAAGTGAAAGTTGTGTGTTGCCCGCACCAGATTTTAAATATGAAATTGATTTACCAACAAACATAATTAAAGAACTATAGCTTCATGATAAGTTAATCCTCGTGTTCCACCCAATACAGTTGGCGATGAGGCCGGCACTGGATTATGCTATCTATTTGGAGCGGACACGCTCTGGTAAAATGAAATTAAATCAAACAATAATAATATAGATGGGTATCCTAAATAAATATTTGAAGTCCAATTCGGATATCCAACTACATTCCTTATGTTAAATGTCTTGATAGTCCAATTGAGTTTCCATTGCTGACGCCCGGTGCTAACTGAGACAGTTCAATATGGTTGTAACATAATGTAATTCAGCAAAGATAAGATATTCTAAAACAATAGGAAATTTACCTTTATTTGTGACTCTGGCCTTTTCTCTACCACTCCAGATACAGTGACAACAGATTCAAGTGGAGTTCTTCTCAATTCTTTAATTATCTCATGACTCTGAAAGTATATTACAATTAATTGATGAATACATTTTCTTATTAAATTTGAAAATATAAAAATAAAATTAGGTACTTCGCATAAAATTTACCATTTGCAAACAGCAGTCTCTGCCGTAATCATTAAAACCAAAATTTTTTTATTAAGAGTTGTCATTTCTGAAGCTGATTATTTCCTAGAAGATATAATACTTCGGGTTGATAAGATCAGTTATGATCAATTGTTAAAACACACATTTTATATTTGATTGACAACTGTTCTACTTCTCACCTATTTATATAATACCGTCCGCATATCCATCTATTTCCCAGACGCATGACCAGTTCCGTAATAAAAATGGTACCAAAACCCAAAAGGCCACTTGAATACCCATCTTCATACTGTCATATCTCTCTTATACCCATCATTGGCAAAATCCTGCAAAAACGCTTTCTGAAACGCCTTAATCCAATATGATTCTAATCACATAATTCCAGATCACCAGCCTGGATTCACAACATCCCAGTCCACTATCCAGCAATGCCGTTGTGTACTATACTTGTCTCCACTGCATTTGATCACTATGCATGACCACTAAAAAGATCCAATAATACAAAGACTTTAACTATCGACTTATTACTGAAGTTCACACCTGGTCCAGATCTGATGGTGAAATATTCCAAATATTTGCTCAACACTTCTCTAAAACCTTTAATCCACATCCAGATATCCTTAATCCAATCCACCTTAAATGCTAGAAGCAGAATAGGTTATTCCACTCGAATTAATCTTACTCCCAGAGGTATCCATCCCCCTCAAGGTCGACGGTACATAAACCTCTCTCTCCCCTCCTCCCAAGATGTTTTAATGCTCTCCTCCTCTTATAAACAGTGCAAGCTTAAGTTGCATTTAAAAAATCATAGGTCATATACAATTACACTTTCACTCATATATTCTATGCTTCCATCTTGTCCCCTGGTTTGAAACTTTTTATTCCGAAAACTCATAACCATGTCAAAATGTGTCCCCTCAAACATTTTGATGGCGCAACTTATACCATGAAATTTCCTTCTGGGCACTCCTGCTTACACCTAAAGCATTTCGTCCTTCATTCGACTTCTGCATTCGTCAAAAACCAACATTTTGCACCAAACTTTGACTCATTTGAAGATGATTAGAACCTTTTCTCTACAAAACTAGTACACCCGAAGGACTAAACAACTCGTCTGCCGACATGCATCCACTTCCGGCCGGCAGACGTCAGTTTTTTTAAAGTTTGGAGTGGTTTAGTTTTGTTTGGAAAATGTTTTATCCATCTTCAAATACGACACTTTTTCAGAAAATAGGAGGACTTTGATAACCCATAAAATTTTATTGCATCCTATCTCTAGGGTGGCAGACGCCCATATTTGCGTTCTATGGCGAGAATACTTTTGGAATTCCCGGTCAAAAACTTTCTTCAAATCCATTGCCAGACTCTCTGGCTTTCTTTACAGCTATGTATACGTAGAATTTTAGATCGATGGAAGGGTTTATGTGCATTTTGGAGCATACTTATTTTGGAATATCCAATGCATGATACCCAAAATATGTACTCTACTTTAAAAATCCGTATAAAAAATGTTTAATGTTTTTTCAGGACCAAGCATTAGACATTTTTAACAGTTTAATAATTTTTCCAATTAAAGAAAAAGTTTCAGAACTTTATAAAACTATAGCTTTAATTTTTTAAAAATTAGATTAGATAAGATTGTTAGAGGAACTGATAGTCTCAAAATAACCATATCTACAGAAAACTTGTCACTAGATAAAATATACCTGAAGGTTGAAGGTGATGATTTACTCCAAAACAAAACAGATCTCCTAAATCAAATTATGTCTTCACGCATTAAAGAAAAACTAAAATATTCAGAACTGGTGATTAAATTTTTATTTTAAAAAATAAATAGAATATTAATTTTTTTTTCTTCTATTGGCATTACAGATCTTGTAGATCTTTTGCAACCATAACAAGCCTACTACATCTTTTGCCATTTCTTTCCAGTTATCTGCGTACTTTTACATCTTTGTTGATTCGATCTATCCAACTCCTTTTTTGCCTTCCACGTGGTCTATATTCATTTTATTCACCTACCTTTATTGAGGCATTCATTGTCGAGTAGAGACTACAGATGGATTGCCTTCATATCATAAGATATTGATTTAACAGTTCTGTAATCAGCTATTTATTGGTCTTTCTTCTCCATGCATTAGGACTCCAGATCGCTCCGGTTACCGTGCCACCGGAGGATTTTCCTCTCAAATCTTTCAATATTTCTTTCTACGGTGCTTGTTAGTGTCCACGTCTCAGCCATATATTAGAATTGGCTTCATCATAGTATTCTACTCAAGGGTGTAGGAAGTAAGGACTTTATGCCCCCTGCTTAATTTAAAACCCCTGCCCTACACAATTTATAACCCCCATCGACACCATGATTCGCAGGAGCGTAAAGGCTATTATTAGACAACCTGCGAATACCTCCACGCCGATGTATGCCCCCAGGAAATACCGAGGATTAGGATTAATCCGCTGCCAATTGGAGGCTCCTCTTCAACATTGGACCACTGCTTAATTGCGACTGTCCAATGTACCAGATGCTCTTTTCCAATCTACCATCGATTATTCGGCTGGAGTTGCTGAAAAGCGAGAAAGAGAAAAGAGACGCCGAAAGCGAATAAATACATTTACGAAAGTCAAGTACTTTCTGGATCTGAATGGTCGAATGCCCTCAAACTAAACATTAATTATGCACTTGTGGAGTCTCAGATGTCAGCGGACAGGTCAGAGAAATTGGGTCTCTTCGTAGTAAATGTGGCAGAGAGTCTGAAACACCAGCCCACGTGCTGAGAAAATGTCCCAACAACCCCCTCCTCATAACACGTCACCATAGGCTTAAGCTCGAGTTGATGAGGCTTCTTAGGGAAAGAAAATTCACCTGCTTTGGCGAGTTCTATTGTATCGATAGTGAAGGCACTACGAGATATGCGGATATTGTAGCATTTCCTAAGACAGAAAAGACAGTGCTGATTTTGGATCCAACTGTCCGCTTTGAGAGCAATGACATCAATCAGGCAGGTGGAGTGAAAAGAAGAACACGTATGATTTATCCCATTTCTAAGAGAGAAGTTCCGTGATACCTTTAGAGAGAGAGAGTTCACCGTGAGAGGTCTCTAGCTTGGGTCTCGCGGAACGATTACAAAAAGAACAAGGAGCTTTCTCAAGGAACTGGTTGTCGACATTAAGGACGTAGCGAGATTAGCTGAAAATATAGTCCCTCCCTGGGAATCATTCACCACCACGTGCATGGGTAGGGTGAGAGTTTTAATTTATGTATTTATTTAATGAAAAATATGTAGAGTAAGTAATGTTCTACTGAATAATTTTAAGCATTTTAATTTGTATATAAAAGAGATAAAGAGAGAGAAGGGAAATTAAATGTAAACAAGAAGAAAAAACAAAAGCCTGAACAAGGAAAGGAAAAAAAAACAAATATATATATATATACATACTTACCACTCCTATATATTTATATATAAGTTTTATATATCATCCTACGGATTAACCACGGATTAGTATGCTGTGTGCGTCTAGCAACCCGATATAATTGGGCAGCAAGCTTTCATATTTTATATGAAAATAAAGTGTTTCTCTCTCTTTCTTAAAATTTGTCGGGATTTCAATACCTTCGAAAGGAAGAAGAAACATCTGTTTGCGCTTGTTTTGATACGCTGTTCTATTTCTGACCGTTGTTCATGGATTGAGCCAATTGTGAAATCAAGGTGTTTGAATTTTTCTACTCTCGGGAACGATTTCCTTTCCGCGCAGATCCTATTATTGGGGTGGAAATTTCGGTTTATTATCATATCGTATTTTGTTTTCTCTTCATCTACTTATAGGCCGATTTGCTTTGCTTCTCGTATCATAGTCATAGCGAGTTTCTCAATGTCCTATTGATTACTTCCAAGAACAGCTATATCATCTGCGTATCCAAGGAGTTTATGATTCGTTCTGACGTGGATTTTCGTACTGCTTATCAGTAATTTCTCATCCACAATTTCAGCTATTGCTAAGTGTTAAGCCGGTCAATTAATCTATTAACTTAATTAATTAATGAAAATATTAACATCTATATTAAATATGTTAATAAATAACGTTTATATACTTGATTATATATATATTTCTTTTTTCTGGTTGGCTCTACTGACCTTGTAGATATTTGGCTGCATGTTGGTGTTTTTGACGGGATAGGGTTATTAGCCCTATGTCCAACCCCCAAACTGGAAGACCAGGAGCTATGTCTGCCACAGGGACACTAAGCTCCCTGCGGTGTGAATTACCTCCAGTAGGCTGACGGGTCTCACATACCCGAGGGGGAAGGAGGAATCTCGGGAAGCGTGTCTTTCCCTGGTGGACGGTCAGCCATCCAAGGACTAACGCCTTAGCCAGTACGGCTACCCCGGCCCCGTTGTGTATATTTGGTGAGAGGGAAAATTAAGGGATTTTTAGATTCTGATAGAGGGAAAATCAGAGCCAGTAGAAATGAAATTTTAAAAATTGGAGTGGAAACAATGGTTGTTTATGACAACTGCCATTATGGGCAGTGGAACTTCAAATTAAATGCTTGGTTTCATATCACAATAAATACAAATATATCGTAGGCTTATTGCAAAAAGTAATTAAGAGACATCTCTTAATCTTAAATAATTAAGAATTTTGAAGAATTAAGGTTGGATAGCTTTATAACGATGCCCTTTCCTATTGATACGAGTACTAATTTCGCCATTTCTGCATCCAGTATTTATTTAAATGAGTCTTAAGGCGGATTTCTGATATTTTAAAAATATTTATAACATTTATATATAATAAATGAGTGCCAGTCGTTTCTTGCTACCTGTGAAAATGGCGGCTGGTGTATAGAATATGAGACCAGTAACTCGAGGATCGAAACGGAAAATTCATAGCGCAAAATGTAGGGAAAGTT